AGCGCACATTTATCTAGGTTAAACACTTAAACTAACATTGTGATATGCTTGAACTGTTTTATATCTATAGATTTTACTTTAGGCAAATCGTGATGATTTGAGAAGGCTAAATTGATTAAAAAGGCTATGATCAATTCACTGTCTGCCGCTGGCCTGACAAGACGAATAAAAATAAGAAATACAATTTTTGTACAACATTTTTATTTTCTCTGACACTTTTTTCCTACTCTGTTGCATAAGATATTAAACGAATTTTTGTCTTTTTATATAATTCATATAAATTCAAGTCAATAAATTCAAGACTCTTGACAAGACGAATAAAATAACTTTTTGTGCAGAATACACTTTTATTTGTCAGCCTATCTCTTTTTCTTTCAGTAACGGAAATTTAAATGTGAGATTCTGGAAACGAGATCTAAATTTAGCGGGAACGGTCGGGTCGGGAAGAAAATTATTCTAAGCGGACAGCGGGTGAACAAAGAGTGAATATATAGCGACAAGCCGAGGTCTCTATACGTTACTGCCGCTTTACATTGCTGACAGAATGTAGTGTTTTATAATCTAGAGATTGTAAAAAGGATGTAGCTCACGCACTGTCGAGTCAAGTGCCAGTTGATTAGAGACCTGCTCCCGCGAGACCCGATGCAACAGAGTGCAGCGCGGGACAAGATGAGCGAGTGCTGGTGCGGGAGAATACAATGATTCACGGGACTCCCGCAAAATAGAAATATCTAAACATAAAATATCTAAAACAAATAAATTGTTATTCATCTATTGCACAAAAGCAGCATGAACTAATATAAATATAAACGATTAACAGGTGCAAGCGTATGCAGAGTTTTTATTTAGGCTATAACACTTGTTTGCAGCGTTGAGCAATGCAGTGCTGAAATTTGCTTGCTCACGAATCCTCTCATTATAACACACAAATTGTAGACATTATGAAAGGTTCATTATGCATATATTTATTGTGTTATAACAGAGATTTGTGAGATTGCGATGAACTGAGATGTCTTTTAGAGATTATAAATGCAGCGCTCTTTGCTGGCATTCTGCTATGCCAAACCATGTATGCAGCCGCCGCTTGCTTTAGTTAAAAATAACAGTGTTCTGTGAATGTTGATGCTTTAATAACAAATATTTATCGGGAGCGTGTATGCTGGGATTTCATAAATTTAATGGAGAAAAAAAGTAACGTAACTAATTACTAATTATTTTTGAAATAAAGTAATCAGAACAGTAACTTGATTACTTTTAAAAGGAGTAATCAGTAATCAGTAATTTGATTACATTTTCAGAGTAACTTGCCCAACACTGCTTAGAACACCCTAGAAACAAGATACACCTTAGCCTAGAACCCAAAACACCCTATAAACTGCATAGCAACATGCTGGAATCATTAAGAGGACACTAGGAACCATATAGCAACACCCTGGAAACCACATAGTAATGTCCTAGCAAATCCAGAACATCCTGGCAACTGTAGTGCAACATGCTAAAATCATTTAGAATATAGAATATAAAAACAACCTCTAACGCTACTGTAGCATTCTAGCAACCCAACAACACAATCGAAACTGCATAGCAATGTTTTAGCAATCACCCGGAACAATCTAACACCTGCACAACAATGCCTTAGCAACCACAACACCCTAGCAACTGCATAGCAATGCCCTAGCAAACCCAGAATACCTACCAATGCCTTAACAAACACAACCCCAGAACACAATAGAAACTACCCTAGCAACCACACAGTGATGCCCTAGCAACCCCTTAATGCCCTAACAACAATATAACAACTTCCAAAAAAATTACCCTAGCGACCACAAGGCAATGCACTAGCAACCCCAGAACACCGAAGCAACTGCAACATTGTAAAATCACACAGAACACCTTAGCAACCACATAGCAATGCCCTACCAATCACAGAACACCCTAGCAACTGCAAAGAAACATGTTAAAAATCAGTCATAACACCCGAACGACCACATACAGTAGCAATGCCCTAGCAACTACAGAACACCTTAGCAACTGCATAGCAAAATGCTAAAAATCACTCCGAACACCCTAGCGACCACATAGCAATTCCTTAGCAACCACAGAACACCCTAGCAACTGCATAGACATTATAATATCAATCAAAACATGCTAATGACCACATAGCAGTGCCCCAGCAACCCCTGAATTCCCCCAGCAACAACCAAACATACTAAAAATCAAACCAGATCACTATAGCGAGCACATAGCAATGCCCTAGTAACCACAGAACACTAGCAACTGCATAGCCACATTCTAAAATCAACCAAAACACCCTAGTGACCTCATAGCTATGCCCTAGCAACCCCTGAATTCCCAAGCAACAACACGACATGCTGAAATCAGTCATAACACTCTAGCGATCACATAGCAATGCCACAGTAACCACAAACACTCAAACAACCACAAATATTTCTTAAAAAATGTAACAAACTAGTTTGTCGTATTGCATTTGTCAAAGTGTGTGTGTGTTTCCTATGTGTGTATTGTAGGTGGTGGTGTGTGTTTCTGCTGGATACAGACACAGCGCCGCGGTGACTAATGACGGAGAGCTGTACACCTGGGGGGAAGGCGACTTCGGTCGACTCGGTACATCACTCTCCTCTTACAGACTATCAGCATCACTAAACACACACACACACACACACACACACACACACACACCTGAGGCCTGAGGATCTGTTCTCAGATATAGTGTTGTCAGTGAAATACAATTCACTATTGATTTCTGTGAGGTGGTTTTTATGGTTTGAATGACTGCTGTGCACAGTACACACTGCATAGACTTTTCTCAAATCCACAGTGAAATAATTTGTCAGACAATGAGTCAGACTGTTGTGTCAGAAGTTCTGCCTGTCTGTCTCAGTCTCATTTTTACTCTGTCTGCCTGTCATGTAGGTCACAGCGACAGTCACAGTCGTAACATGCCCACTCTGGTGAAGGACATCAGTGGGGTCGGGCAAGTGGCCTGTGGCAGCTCTCATACCATCGCTGTGGCTCAAGATGGACGAATCGTCTGGTCCTTTGGAGGAGGAGACAACGGTATGCAGATGTTTCATATAAAGTGGCCATATTATATGCTTCTGTAGTATTTAAATGTTTTCCCTAGAAGTCCATATTTTACAACAAAATCAGTTGTAATTTAATATCTATCTATCTATCTATCTATCTATCGTCTCTGTCTGTCTGTCTGTCTGTCTGTCATTTTTATTTCATTTAATAATTCACCACCTCACTCAGACCTCGATTAATAGAGGAGCTCAGTATTACTAAAATCATAGACATTTCCTGTGGAGACAGCCACTGTCTCGCTCTGTCTCACGGTAAGAGAGATGGAGAAACAAAATAGGAAAAGAAAATAGTATTAATAGTATTAGATAAAAAAAAAAAGATGAAATGTGTAATTTCTGCTCTGATAGTGGCAACTTCTGCTGCAAACTGCATTTTTTTTCCTAACGTCTGCAGAGTTTGATATTTAAACTGCATTTTAAATTTAATTAAATTTAATTTAATATAACTTTTTTATTTCTTTATAGAACTTAATTTTATAGAAAATTGTATAAAAATTAATTGTTGATCAATGTTATTTTATTTTTTTAATTTGATATTTATTTGATATTTATATTATATTATTATATTTATTTTGTATTTTTATTTTTGAATGTTAAAGTTTTAGTAATCTTATTGTGATTTTGTCATTTTTATTAGGTTTGTTTTTTTAAGTATTTCTATGTAGCTTTATTTGATTTTTATTTCAGTTTTAGTAGTTTTTAAGTACTTAAACTTATTTCATTTAGTTGCCAAGGCAATATGTCTATTTTTTTTATTTCAGTTAGTTTCAGTTAGTTACATTAATTAGTTTTTTTTAGCATTAGTTTGCAGTAACACTGTTGAGGATTAAAGGAATATTTAACAATTTTTTATTTTATTTCATTATTTACTCACCTTCATGTAATTCCAAACCTCTAAAAAAGGTTTTGATGATACAGTAAATGGGAACTGATGCTTTTAAGTGCGAAAAAAAATTCATAAAAATAGTCTATACAACTTGTGTGCTATATTCCAAATTTTCTGAAGCCATATGCTAGCTTTGTGTGAGAAAAAGTCGTTATTCACTGAAATTAAATTCTCAGATTGATGCTGCATTAAGTTTTTTCTTTAAGAAAATGCTTGAGTCATTTCATTGGTTTGTGTTGTAGAAAATGAAGTATTTGCTTGGGGCAACAATGCCATGGGGCAGTGTGGGCAGGGCCATACCTCAACGCCAGTCACCAAACCCAAGAAAGTGATTGGTTTAGAAGGGGTGTCAATACAGCAGATTACTGCAGGCACGTCCCACAGCCTGGCCTGGACAGCGGTTCCTACAGACAGGTGAGTAGAAAGAGGAAGCTGTATTTCATTAGTTGAGATTTGATGGCTTTTCCACAATGCATGTTCGGTATTTCATGCATCTCATTGCTTATGGATAATGCAAATGGAATAAAAAGCCGTCTCTTTCTGATCTAAACCCTAACCAAAAGCAGTTTATCCTTAAATGAGTTTGAGCCTACGGGAAACGGCACCTTTCTCATTTTCACAAATCAAAAACGTAATCAAAAACCTGGCGTGAGTTTCACCGCTAATGTATTAATACATTTGCATTTATATTTTTCATTTTCCATTATTCACAGCTATTCAGTTGCATTGTTTTCCTGACAGGACTGAGTGTGAATTATCAATGTGTGTTTGTGCGCCTGGCAGGCAGCTGGTGGCTTGGCACAGGCCATTTTGTGTGGATCTCGAGGAGAGCACGTTTACATACCTGCGCAGTTTCCTGGAGCGTTACTGCGATAGTATCAGTGGGGACACACCACCTGCACCTTTCCCCTCTAAGAGGTAAAAACCCAGCACCAACCCACCCAGATTTACAAATGATGGATTGTGATTTGAACCATAAACCATTAATCGAAAATATGTACAGTTTAATGTATGTATAGAGGCACAGAGTGTCAGATATTGCTGTTTTAAAAGCAAATCATGCAACAAATCTCGTTCTTTGATAGGTAGGTATGTGGATATGGATAGATTTAAACGTATTTATTCATTTTAATAAATTGTATTTAAGTTTTTTATTTTTATTTTAATATTTGTTTCTATTTTTCTATTATTTTTTCTATTTTGAGTTTTTTTTAATTCGAATATTAAAAATGTTTGTTATACTTTATAAAATGAAGAATGTATAATTTGAAAATATAATTTCATATTATGGACGGATGCTTGAAACATGCCAATCCGATTCATAGACATTTGCAATGCCAGATGTCAGTAGTTTACATCTGTCGACTTCAAGCTTTGAGATTACATAAGAGCTGTCATACAGATTATATAATATCATTAGTTGAGATTTGATGGCTTTTCCACAATGCATGTTCGGTATTTCATGCATCTCATTGCTTATGGATAATGCAAATGGAATAAAAAGCCGTCTCTTTCTGATCTAAACCCTAACCAAAAGCAGTTTATCCTTAAATGAGTTTGAGCCTACGGGAAACGGCACCTTTCTCATTTTCACAAATCAAAAACGTAATCAAAAACCTGGCGTGAGTTTCACCGCTAATGTATTAATACATTTGCATTTATATTTTTCATTTTCCATTATTCACAGCTATTCAGTTGCATTGTTTTCCTGACAGGACTGAGTGTGAATTATCAATGTGTGTTTGTGCGCCTGGCAGGCAGCTGGTGGCTTGGCACAGGCCATTTTGTGTGGATCTCGAGGAGAGCACGTTTACATACCTGCGCAGTTTCCTGGAGCGTTACTGCGATAGTATCAGTGGGGACACACCACCTGCACCTTTCCCCTCTAAGAGGTAAAAACCCAGCACCAACCCACCCAGATTTACAAATGATGGATTGTGATTTGAACCATAAACCATTAATCGAAAATATGTACAGTTTAATGTATGTATAGAGGCACAGAGTGTCAGATATTGCTGTTTTAAAAGCAAATCATGCAACAAATCTCGTTCTTTGATAGGTAGGTATGTGGATATGGATAGATTTAAACGTATTTATTAATTTTAATACATTTTATTTAAGTTTTTTATTTTTATTTTAATATTTGTTTCTATTTTTCTATTATTTTTTCTATTTTGAGTTTTTTTTAATTCGAATATTAAAAATGTTTGTTATACTTTATAAAATGAAGAATGTATAATTTGAAATTTCATATTATGGACGGATGCTTGAAACATGCCAATCTGATTCATAGACATTTGCAATGCCAGATGTCAGTAGTTTACATCTGTCGACTTCAAGCTTTGAGATTACATAAGAGCTGTCATACAGATTATATAATATCGCAGAAATTTTCCTGCTGAGGCCTCAAGATGGTAAGTGATGTATGTTGACCTTGAGGTCAGAACATTTCATTCTGTAAATGTTAATTCTGCCAGTATCTCCAACGAAAGAGAGAGTGTGTCAAACGTCTTGTTCCCATTATGTGGAAGCTTCCAGAATACCTTAAAGGGGTCATATGATGCTGCTAAAAAGGAACATTATTTTGTTGATTGGCCAGCTATCCAGTGCGTTGTGATTGGCTGAATTCCTCAAGCGTGTGACCGAAATGTTACTCCCCTTACCATACTGTGATGCCGTGTCCCGGCGCAACGAGACAAAACGAATAAAACCCATTACAAATGAGGCATTTGTTGCATCCAGTTAGGACATATTTACTGATTATAATGACTTATACTGTCTTTTTACGTGTTGCATTGCATCGCGCCGCATATATTCTCATATTTTATTTTTAAAATCTTTGTTTTAACAGAACATCCCCATCCATAACTTTTTTTGTTTTGTTTTGTTTTATTTTATTATTTGTGCCTCTAGTGATTGGGGTTACTATTGCTCATACTTATGAACCTCTAACTCTAGCCTCCAAGTTTCTACTTCAGGTTTTAATTTTTCTCTAAAGTCACTACATAGCAACCACCATTTCAGCTAAACAACTGCATAGCAATGCCCTAGCAACCACCTAGCACACCAGAGAACTGTGGCAGAGAGTTTTGCATAGGCAAGCAAGAATTCTGGTTTATCTGTGTCAATGTCAATGTCAGCTGCAGACACTCATATAGCTGGAATGCTCAAGAGTTCAGTGTAACTCTTTCAACTGAATCATCTGTCAGAATGCCAGCATATGAGTCATTTCTACACCATAGTAATACATTTTTGTTTGTGCGTTGAGGCGGTAATGAACACGCTGTCCATCGGAGCATCTCTGTTGCTGCCTCCTCTCAGGGAGAGAACGGAGCTGCTGCACTCGCTGTTACCACAGGGTCCAGAGAGCTGGGAAAGCCTCTCTAAAGGACAGGTACGCAAACACAACAATATTCAACTCTGGCACGTATATCAATATTTGCTGAGAAACCCCTGCTGTTCCTTTGCGCTCCACTAATGATTCGGTGATATTACTATTACAGCGTCTACAGCTGGACATGGTGCTGAACAGCCTGCAGGAACAGAGTCATGTGGCATCCCTGCTGGGATACAGCTCACCTGGGGAGTTGAGTGCAGGTCTGGCGCTGCCGCCCACCCCTGACTGCCCCACAGGAAGTGTTAGCTCAGGCTCAGAAGCTCCAGACCATCTCCACCTGGCTGAAGTGCTCCTAAAGACCTTGCTGCTCAGCATTGGCTTCTATACGGTCAGTCCACTGGTTCAACAGTTGTCAGATTGACAGACACAAAATATGTTTTCCATTTTTAAGCCTCAGTTGATTTGAATTGTAATAAGAATATTCATTTCTGCCTTTCTCAAATACTTAGGAAAGGAAACTGGCATTTTAAAACTGGCATTCATAAATCTGGCATTGGACCCCAATCTAAATTACAAAAATCTTGGACCTCTTTTGGAAACCTTTCGTTTTTGTTCTTCTCTCTTTTATTAATTTTGCTGATTACAAATAATTTAGAATATATAATTAAGAACAAATATATGAAAAATATAATATTAAATCATTTATAATTGATTATATACTGTATATATATATATATATATATATATGTAATACTTTATTTTATTTTTTTACTTTATAATATACACTGCTGTTTTTTTATGTTTTTTGATGGACGTATCTTATGCTGACCAAGGCTGCATTTATTTGATCAAAAATACAGTAAAAAAACAAAAAAACAATAATATTGTGAAATATTATTACAATTTAAAATGACTTTTTTTCTGTTTAAATATTTTTTCAAATATATTTTGTTCCTGTGATGGCAAAGCTGAATTTTCAGCAGCCATTACTCCAGTCTTTAGTCTTTAGTGTGATCCTTTAGAAATCATTCTAATATGCTGATTTGGTGCTCAAGAAATATTATCAGTGTTGCAAACATGAAAACTTTTTTTTTTTTTGTGGAAACCATGTTACTTTTTTATGATTCTTTTATGTATAGGTTTACATTTTAAAATAACAGCATTTATTTGAAATAGAAATATTTTGTAACATTATAAATGTTTTTACAGTCCCTTTTGCTGAATAAAAGTGTTGATTTAAAAAATCTTACTTACCCCAGTATATAATAATCATTTAAAATAATAATTTATATATGCAAATATTTAAACCTGTCTCTGATCCTCTCTGCCCACTTCCTACACAGGAGTTGCTTGTAGGAACAACCAATCCAAACTGAGATGTTTTGATATATATTTAATTATATAAAATTAAAATTAAAATATATACAATTATAAAAGGGATTTAATGTGTGATATATTTTGAGGAAACTTTTAAAAATCAAAACACAAATCGTAATATGTTCTCCTTTCTGTTAACTCTGTTAACTTTGTTCCCTTTTGAATGCTGTTTGTTCATTCAGGAGCGTGCGTTTGGTGAACTGGAGAAGAACAGCGATAAACAGCGGTTCAGTCAGTCCCAGAAACAGACGGAGGCTCCATCACACTTCCACCACCTGCTGTCAGCCCTTCACAGACACCTGCTGGCCCACTGCTACATCCACACAGGCGCTGAGGTACAACAGTGACACATTTCCTGTTAAAACCCACTCCATATGATAGCTCCTGCCGGCTGCCAGTTGCAGTGGTTACGGATTGTAGTTTTAAGAAATTAAATACTGTTGTGTGAGCATGTTTAGTCAAAGATTCTTAATTCTTGTTCCAGAACCCAGAGGTGAAGGCGGTTTGCATAATAAGCGTTTTTAAAGAACAGATTTTGTGTGTTGTGTAGGATGACAGTAGCGTCGTGCTGCTCCATAAGCACCTGTGCCTGCTGCTGCCTTACGCAGCCGAAACCTTCAGGAGATCCACCATCCTGCTGGAGGAGAGCACACTGGACAAACACGTCATCAAGAAACTACACAGTAAGAACACACATTATGCGCCATTAATCTGTCCATCTAACCATCCATGCATCTAGCCATCTGTCTGTTAGTTACTCCCTTCATTCATTCATCCATCCATCTAGAGTAGCAGTTCATATGTATGTAGCCATCCATGTGTCCATTCATCCTTCTGTCCATGCAACCATTCGTCCATCCATCCATCTATCCATTTATGGAGTAATCCATTTTCTGTATATTTGTTGATCCATCCATCCACCTATCCTTTAATTCAGTAAAGTACCCTTCCTTTCATCCATTCATCCATCCATCTATCTCTTTGTGTGTTTATCCATCCCTTTGTCTATTTATGTAGCCATTTGTAGCCATCTATTAATCCATCAGTCCATCCATCCATCCATCCATCCATCCTTCCATGTAGCCATTCATAATCAGTCAGTCTATTCATCCATTCCTCCATTTATGTAGCCATCCATCCATCTCTTCATCCCATCTATCCATTTATGGAGTAATCCATTTTCTGTATATTTGTTGATCCATCCATCCACCTATCCTTTAATTCAGTAAAGTACCCTTCCTTTCATCCATTCATCCATCCATCTATCTCTTTGTGTGTTTATCCATCCCTTTGTCTATTTATGTAGCCATTTGTAGCCATCTATTAATCCATCAGTCCATCCATCCATCCATCCTTCCATGTAGCCATTCATAATCAGTCAGTCTATTCATCCATTCCTCCATTTATGTAGCCATCCATCCATCTCTTCATCTGTTTATGTAGCCAGCCAGCCATCCACCCATCTCTATCTCTGTTTATTTATCTAACCATCCATCCATTTATCCATCAATCCATCTGTTTCTCCATCCATCCCCCATCCATCAATCTTCCATCCATCCATGTAGCCATTCATAAACAGTCAATTCAATTATCCACCCCTCCATCCTCCCATCTATTTATGTAGCCATCCACCCATCCAGCCTTCTGTTCATCCTTCCCCTCCATCCATTTATGTAGTTTCCCATTCATCCATCCATCCATTAGTCCATCCTTCTCTCTTTCCACCCCAGCTTTGGCTCGTTATGTAGCCATCCATCCATCTGTCAATCCAACCATCCATTTGTCCACCCATCTCATCCGTCCGTCCATCCATCCCTTCATCTGTTTATGTAGCCATCCATCTATCCATCTGTCAGTCCATTCATCCATCCATTCCTCTGTCTATCCCTCTGTCCATCTGTTATTCCTCCATTTATCTTGCCATCCGTTCCGCCATCCATAGTAGCCATCCCATGATCCAACCAGACCAAGTATTGAGTTATATGTGTGTTTCTTTGTAGCTGTGCTGTTTGTTTCGGTGGCGGGCAGTCTTCTGTGTCAGGTGATGTACTCTCTGCTCCTGTTGCCATTGGCTGTGGTCAGACCCCTCCTTCCTCACCTACTCACTTTGCTTGAACATCTCAACGAGCTCAACTGTTACCTGCCCAACACTGCGCACCTGGAAGACATGGAGCTGGAAGGAACCTCACAGGGTGAGGACCAGAATGATAAATTTCATTCTCGGAAAACGTTCAGGATACCTTAATGCATTGTTTGACATCCGAACGATTCAAAAACAACTTATTCAATAACAAATGACAGATCATCAGTGTGACACGCTGTTAAGAAATTCAGAGATGGACACAGTACTTACTTCCTATTGCAGAAGCATCTGAAACCTCTGAGCCAATCACAGCGTCAGAGTCAGAAGACTGGGCATGGCTACTAGACCTGGAGAGGTCTGTGGCTCTTGCCATTGGTCGATGCCTGGGAGGTATGCTGCAGGGCCCGCCCCCTTCCATCCAGGAGAAGACAGCAGAGTTCTGGCTGTGTAACCCACTCTTGAGAAACGGGCTGGAGATAGACTTTGAACAACTGGGTAATGACTTGCCTCCAGGAGGCAGCAGCTTATTGTTTATGTTGTGTGGTGTGAACACTCACATAAATACTCATCTGTGTTGTCCTATAGACTGGGCAATGGGTTGGCTGACTGAGGCTGTGTTCATGGGTTGCGGAGACGTGAGACTAGCCGAGCTGCGGCTGTCGGAAGATAACACAACGCTAGTGGAACTTGCTCTTGGCTCCCCACGAGAACCTGCCAGCGCCCTCTGGAGGAAAATGAAGGAGTATGCGGAGAGTCAAGGTAAGAGGGAGGCAGGTTTTGGGCGGTGTATAGAATATGAAAAGAAGATAAAAAATATTTCAAGACATTTATTTACATAATCTTTTTTTTAACATTTCTGTACCACTAGTGGCACCGAACACTTACAAAAGTGGCTTTTGCACCAGAGGAACGTTTTCATAGTTCCTTCGTATAACCATTGATATAAATACATAGATGCCTCATTCGCGGCTGGAATGTGTATCTACCTATACATATCTATGCCTGGGAACTATACACAGGAACTTTCAGTTATTGGAAGCCTTTTGGGGGGACTAAATTAGCTCCTACTTCAGAGTAGAATGTAACCCAGCACAATAGGAACTACCAGTGACATATTTGTATGTTGATTGGCCGAATGCATGCCATATGAATCACCGCACCCGCCATTTTTAAAAAGCTGTGTAAACACACAGTTTACATTTACTTACTCCACAAACTCCACGAAAATGGAAAACCAATCAAGTATTGCAGAAAGCAACATCATAATCTCTGTTATCATGTACCTGTCTAAATATTGACCTTCACTTGTGTGTTTTTATGCAGACTGGGACAATAGTGGATCAGTGGGAGACTCTGTGTTAGAGACGGCATGTCGCTGTAGTTTGGCCGCTCTACTCAAACATGCCGGCCTTCATGAAGCCTACTGGCAGGATAAGTGAGTGAGATCCACACCTCACCCGCATTCTCTCTTTTTACCTAGATCTCTTGAACACTTTTGTCTTCCCACGTCTCCCTTCTGTCATAGTGTAATGAACTCTTTAATTAGTTGACCCAGATTTAATGAGTATATGCTCTATTTAAAGAATGATTCTATATGTGTATATTAAAGTGTCAGTGCCTGTCTCTCTCTGTGCTGTGAGAAATCTCACTTGATAAATTCCTCAGCCATAAAGACTCATGTGTGAGAGTGAGAGTTCAGTGAATATGAATTGACAGTCGTGAATATCCAGATCAACCTTCTGCAGCAGCAGTCGTGATGAACCAATAGTTTAAACAGTCCATTAATGTGCGTACGTCTGTGTGTGTGTGTGTGTGTGTGTGTGTGTTTGTTTGACTGCAGATATGAGCCCTGTGAGGTGCTGATTGAAATATATCAGGTGGTGTATAAAATCCGCAGCACTCTGCTGTCCTATAAAGAGAGCATAGGAAACACAACCAGCGTCCAAACAACAACTACCACCAAACAGGTAAAACACATCAACAGTCATATAAACTAATGAATATATGCTCTATTTAAAGGATGACACTGAAGACTGAAATAATAGCTGCTGAAAAGTCACTGTAACCAGGGACAAAGTAACATTTTCGTAAAATAATGTTTCGTCCTGTCCAGGCTTCATTGGGCTCTCAGAGCCCCAGTGAGGAGAGACAGGAAGTGGGCAGCTCAGGAGAGCAGACAGGAAGAGACACAGATCCCAGCAGCCAGACACCACACGCTGCTGAACACAACCAGGACGATCCCTTAGAGGAGGAGACGCCCAGCATCAGCAGTATGTACCTGCCGGGTAAACATGCTGCTTTCTGTGTTCTTCCTTCACAGAGCGAGTGTGTGCTTCTGTTGAACCATATACCAAAGTATAAAGGATTCTTTGTCTCAGAATAAGGTCTGTTCAACAGTCTTAGTGTTGTGGTGTTTAACCCACCCTTTTTTCAGCCACAGTTCTGGGATTTAATACTTAGTCATATATATCCTTCAGTTGATTCGTTCACTTACTGTTCACTTGTATTAAAATATATGTATGTATAAACATTGTCACACAGGATGTTTTTTGCTGATGTCTTTGCTGTTTTGTCACCGCTCTAAATAATTCAACTTTTAAATATACATCTTGAAACACCTATTTTCTTATTTTCTTATATATAAACATTTAATATTGTATGTTATCAATAGATCATGGCCAGTGATATTTTAATATTTTTTTATATTTTTAATTATTTACTACATCATTTTTTTAAATTATGTAGTAGTTTTAGTTTTTATAGTTTATTTAATTTGAGTTATTTTAGTACTTAAACTTATTTTGCCAAGGCAACATTTCTGAATTTTAAGTTTTTTTATTATTATTATTTTATTATTTATTATTTTAATATTTTATTTCAAGTAATGAAAATGTTTTTATGGTTTTAGTTTTAATTAACAGTAATAACCCGAATCATGTTTGGGATTAATGTGACATTATTGGCTTTAAAAGACACTCCCTTTGGCGTTGTGTAATTGTGAACTATTTGTGTGTGTCCTCCTCCTTGCAGAGGTGCTGCAGTGTTTCCTGGCCACCCGTGAGGCCATGCAGCTCCAACAGAACGAGACTGTGTACGAGTCGTCTGGCACCAGCACATTGCCCAGCAGCACTGAGAGCCCTGGGACGCCAGACAGGGAGCCCCCACAGCGGCCCTGGGACCACCACAGCACCACTGACCAGGGCCTGCCCTTCCCAGCAGCCTGCCACCTGCTGGTTTCACGCTGCCTCTTCCTGTTGCTGGGGGTCCGAGCTGCTTGGCAGGAGGAGAGTGTGTTGTCACAGACACCTACTGAGAGCAGCTTGGCCAGGTTTGTGTTGCGTGCAATTACAAAACATTTGCATGTGCGGGTGTGAAAAAATCTGAAGGTGATAAATATCTCTCACTACATAGATCTCCACCCTACAATGAGGCTTTAGGAACAAAGATGGATATACAGTCCTCTTCTGAGAGAAGTTTCAGTGAGAGGGAGGTATTTATGTTTCTCATGTTTCTCCCCAGTTTAATATCAATTAAATTAATCTCTCATTTGGGTCTTGTTGTTTGATTTTGTCATTTGTAATCTGTTTTGTCTTTCTTTTAAAGACACCAGATCAGTCTAAAAGCTCCTCAGGGACATTCAAGAATAAAATTGGTAAGGGGCATATGAAATAGCATATTACTTTATTATGTATCTGATCTCACGTGTCTGATCTCACACATATTGGATCTATTGCATGTTTCATCCCTAACATGACTGATGTCACTCATCTTTTGTTTCTAATTTCTCACGTGTCTCATCTTGCATATATCTAACATAACTGATCTCGCACATATCTGATCTCACATGTATGATTTCTCACATCTGATCTCAGATATCTAACATACCAGATTTTACGCATACTGGATTCGTTGCATCTTTCATCTTTAACCTGTCTGATATTTCACGTGTGATATCAAATGTCTGATCTCACGTTTCTGATTTCTAATGTGTCATCTCCCATGTATCATCTAACATAATTGATCTCTCACATAAAATATATGCATCTGATCTCACGTCTTATATCTTACATATCTGATCTTTGATTTTTTTACTTGTCTGATCTCACAGTTCAGCACAGTTCAGATTTTTCATGTCTGATATCCAGTGTCTGATCTTCCGTTTCTAACTTCTCATGCGTTTCCTCTCACATGTCTAATCTACCCTTACTGATCTCTGACATATCAAATCTTATATGTATGATTTCTCACATCTGATCTTGCATATCTGATCTCACACATATTAGCTTTGTTACATTTTTGATCTTTTAAAGGTGTGATCTTGCATGTTAGCTCTTTGACATCTGATGTGATGTACGATCTCTCATTTCTGATATCTCACGTCTGATTTTCACCTGTCTGATCTCACATATCTGATCTCTTTCATGTCTGATCTCACAGCTGCTTGATATCTTGCTTGCCTAATCTCACGTGATATCTCATGTCTGATCTGATTTCTGAAGTCTTACCGTATATATCACACGTCTGATCCCAAACATCTAATCTGATCTTGCATGTCTGATATCTCGCATTGTCTTTCTCTATCTCTTATATTACATAAACTAGAATAATCAGTTTTAGTTAGCTTAACAATCACATCTCTGTGCTAATCAGTCTTGTTTCTTGCTAGGCCTTCCTCTCTGTTCTTTGGGCATCATGAAAGATGCCTGGGAGCGTCTACGGCAGTGCATCAGTCCCACTACCGTGCTGTGCCCAGGTGGAGGTGGCACACCCGTCCTGGGCCAGGTCTTCCATTTCCTTTGTGGCAGCCTCCACCGAACCTCTTCTCTGATGGACAAAGATGGAGTTGCACATGTGGATCCCAAAGCCATCACCGTAGCCATGGCGCAGCAACACCAAAGAGCTCAGGTGGGAAATCCATTGCAGATCCATTTTAGTTTCAATAACTAAACAACTAATAAATAAGCAGGCTATATTAAATGTGTAATGTTTTCACATAGTACTAATAAAGATGTAGAGACATTACAATTGTTTTCATCCCCTTCATCCAGGTGCGTTTGGAGGCCTTGTGTCAGATTTCCTCCTTTCTGTCAGAGATGGAGGAAAAGAACGTCAGCTCTCTGGCGCCTCCTCGTTTTCCAGGCCTCCTGCAGTCAGTGCAGCTGCAGTTCCTCTCTGGCTGCTTTGGTCTGGGTGCCCCGATCACCGGCAGTCTAGCGGCACCTAACAACAAGATTCACCATTACACCGTAAGACACGCTGAAAATGACATTTCCTCAAATACAAACCACAGATTTTTCCAACATATGCATGAATTTTTTTTTGGTGTTCTTGTGTTATGCTAAGAAATTGTATTTTTTGTATCTTGACTTGGAACATCACCCTTATAGGTTAAGCCTATATTCTTTTGAAATATGTTTGAAATGTTGAATTTGTGTCTAGGCTGGGACTCAGTCGGCTCCTATCAGTGTTCAGAGGGAGTTACAGTCTGCGGCTCACACACTGTACCAGCAACTGGTGCGTGTGCTTAGACAGAAGGTGGCATTAGAGAGAGAACAGGCTGGTGGGTAACGCTTCTTACTACTGCATGTAGCATTTGTCTAAATGCAAAAAAAAAAAACTTTAAACAATTTATAAACCAATTAAACTTATTTGTATTTTTTTTAATAGATGTTTTTTTGGGGGGTAATTTTTAGGTTTATATACTTCTTTTTTTATTACTTTTCATATTAATTATGTAAATGCATAATAAAAATTATGTAAATGGTATTTACATTTACATTTAAACTAAATATTTTGCAATTGAAATATTTTACTAATTTAATTTTACTTTATTTATTTTTTATTTATTATTATTTTATTTTTTATTAATAATGAGTAGATAATATAAACCAGGGTAAATAATGTTAAGTAAAAAAAAAAACATTTTGTACTTTACAATGCATCTTAATGTTACTAAAAATAATAAACAATTTATACGGTACCTACTCTACTATGCACATGCACTTTTCATATCTTAGTTGGATAAACAAGGGGAAATGGTAATAATAGTGATGTTTAATTTATTTATTTATTTTTTAGTTTTACAATTTTAAACAGATTTTTTTGTAATGTTACTATTACCCACTGATTCAAATAGACATTCATTTGTGATATTGCTTTGTGGTTCAATTTAGTTTGACTGTATTTTATAGCTTGGCAGAGTCCAAGTACTCTAATAATATGCCAGTTTAATTAAGTAGTGGATTAACATAGATTTGTCTCGTTTCAGGCTCTTATCAGCACCTGCTGTTAGCTACAGTCTTCACTCTGAACTTCCACTATCAGCCGGTGGATCTCGTGGTGATTATTAAATGTGGCGTCCTGGAGATCTTGTCCACACTGACTGATAATGCCTGCGTGCTGGTGAACCAGCGCTGGCTGGCCGCCTCCATGTCCGGTCACATGCAGCTCGGTGGGGCGGTGAAGCTGGCCGCTGCCAGACTCCTGCAGATATTTGCCATAGCGGCCAGGTGAGATTATAAACTTGATAATTAAATACAGAACGAGAGAACGCCTCCCATGATATGCTGTGAAAACCTCACATTTTGAAAACTGATGCCTTAGATAATCACGTTCAAAGCATTCTTCTTGCTACATCATAATTTTGATTTGATGTAACAGTTTTGCATATTAAAGAAACTCCAAAACTTTTAATTTCATATGGATGTTTTGGTATCAACAAACATCCCCTCTGCCAATAAGAGCAACAGTACCTGGCTGCAGACAATAAAGGTTGTACAGCTGCAGTTAAATAAAACTGTGTGTTTGTATGTGTTTCTCCAGTTCCTGTGAAGATGCCTTGCCATTGGAAGTGTCCCAGGCTCTCATGGATGTAATGAGTGAGCAGCTGCAGGGATTGTTACATGTAGTCCACCAGCAGGAGGTGCTAGAGAGGGATTCCACAGAGCACATCCAAGAAGAAACATCTAAACAAGAAAGTCCGTCATTACAACACAAGATTCAGCGTTTTTATATGTATAAACATACACACTAGTTGTAAATATTAAATTTAAACAAAAATTTTTGTCAATTTTTTACTAATTGCTTTAATTTTTACAATATTTTTATTTTTTATTTTATTCTCAATAATATGAGTAGGTAAAATACAGTCTTAATAATATTATCTAAATGTATATTATATATATTATCTAAATAGTCAATATATATATATATATATATATATATATATATATATATAAACATGTAATA